TAATGTCTACTGAAGCATCCCAACCCCTCCCCAGCTCACCACCCTCCCCCCAAGTCCTCGGGGAATCATTATCATTTATCATTTATCTCATTACTTCTTAAGAAATATCTATTAAAAAGGCAGAGGGAGAGGAATGATTTTACGTATCTTACAGAGGAGGGAACAAGCCCAGAGATGATTTATGATGCAAAGTGAGATCTTGGCATTTCAAGGGAAGAAGAAGAATGACAGGTCACGCTGCTTTTCTGCAAGTTGGGTGAGCTTGGGAAGCAATGTAAAAGTTGATTAGAGCAGCTACCTCCTCGGCAGGTACCAGGAGGAAGACTCTCAGATGATGAAGGCTGAATCCTGGCTCCATGTCAAGGTGCTGCCCTCCCTTTCCTAGTAACGAATGTAACTTAGAGACCGTATAAGTATGGGCGTATTGACAGTGGAAACTCTGCTTTACAGTGTAAAAGACTATATATAAACCAGTGTAAGATGAATTACCAGATGTCTGCATGTGACATTAAGGAAGTTGTGGAAATCTATAAATCCTGAAAAACAGGAAAGCTCTAGAGATGACCATTTGCAAATAGTTTCAGCCAATGGAGATGCAGACCCTTCAGTGACTCCTCAATGAGCTTGGGGGTCAATGACGTTCAAGAATTTCTTCATAAAACTTTGTCATTCGTTCATAGACTACTATTAATACATAGTTCTAGGAAATGGTTAAAGGAATTTTATCACCATGATTTCATTTTATCCTCATAACAAGCCTCTCCAGGGTTGCTATTCCCCGTTTTATAGAAAAGGAATCTGTGTGGGAAAGTGAAACGACGTGCTCTGAGGTTATCAGGAACCAAAAAAAAAAAGAGAGAGAGAGAGAGAGAGAGAGAGAGAGAGACAGTACTGAGCGTTGGTGGTGTCAAGAGGAGCTGATGTTTTTGGCCCCGGTTCTCAATTCGGCAACTGCTATGTTTGTAGGGGCAGCATGGTTTGAGGTCACAAATGAGGATGGTACATGTCCGAGTATGGGACACAAGTCTGTCTTAGTATTACAGCTAATATTTAAAATGGTTGGTAGAATCAAAGGAAAACAGCTCTCAATTTACATATATTGTTGTTGGAGTTACACACAAACCATCCTTTTTTACAAAAATTAACTAGAAGAATGACTCCAAAACAAAACAAACAAACAAACAAAAAAAAACAACCAAACAAAACCCTGGGATACTTTTCCAATATAGGAACTATTTTGGATTTGCCCAAGTATAACTGTATTTTGTTGATGATTTTTTTTTTTAAGATTTTATTTATTTGACAGAGATCACAAGTGGGCAGAGGCAGGCAGAGAGAGAGAGGAGGTAGCAGTCTCCCCGCGGAGCAGAGAGCCCGATGTGGGACTTGATCCCAGGACCCTGAGATCATGACCTGAGCTGAAGGCAGAGGCTTAACCCACTGAGCCACCCAGGTGCCCCTTGTTGATGATTTTAATAATGACCGCTCTCTTTTATACACGTTGGCTCAGTCACCCCAATAAAATTTGTGACCGTCATCCATGTGACAAATCCATGTTTAAATGAAGGGGAAGTGAAGACATATCTGAGGCTTTTGTACATTGTCTCAAGTGTCTGTTGTTACCGACTTCTTCCCCGTTACTAGTACGCAAACCCAAGAAGTCATGTCCTCTTTCTAGGTCTCGATCTCTCATGTACCAAAATTCACCGTACTGGAAATTCATGTACTGAATTTGCTGACTGGTAAGGTCCCTCCAACTCTCGGATGATAAGATACCATGGAACAGGATCCCTGCCCAGGCTACGAATATACGTATCTGCTTACTGACCGCCACTACCAGTGACAGGAACTTCAGATGGTACTGTAGAAGGTGAACTAGAAACTAGTGTCCACGTTCAGCAGAATCCTGATAATTCTGACAGTTACCTCTGAACGAGGAATGTAGACAGTGCTGAGGAAGGAAGACCAGCTCAGCCGAAGAGGTATTCCACATGTTGGTCTGAACGCTGGCTCAGCCCCTACAGCCAAGGCTCAGAACGCTTGATTTTTAAATTTCCAACATATCCTCCACTCCAGTCATTAGAAACGAGACCCATTTGGCCAGTGTTCTTCCTGCTCACCTTGTGTGGGAATCGTTCTGCGGTTAAGCTGATGAAGTTGCCTTCTGATGCTATGAACTCCCCAGTTCCTCAAAACCTCTGCAGTTTACTTTCACTTTCATTTTAAGAGAGACAACAAAAATCTGGCTAAGGGAAGAGACATCCATCTCCATGTGTGAAACCTGACCACGGGCCTGGAGGGAAGGCTCATAAGGGACAGGCTTAGAGTTCTCTGGCATTGACTCAGCTCCTTTTTTTTTTTTTTTTTTTTTTTTTTTAAACTTAAAATCTCAGCTCCAACATAGGCCACACGCTCATTGAAAACTCCCAACCAGTCTCAGGACAGCAAAGCCCAGTCAATATACAGGTTTGCCTCCACTTCCAGAGGGATGCTGAGACTAAACATATCCGTGGCTTCTACAGGGCGATGGCAACCTCGCTGCTGCTCATTAAGATTAAAGAGTTCAAATGAAGGGTATTTTTTTCCCCTCAGACAGGGAAACAAAATAAACATATCAAACACTAACTGCCTTAGTGGAAATCCTCTGTTGAACAGGCAAACAATTATGAGATAAGAAATAAGAATAAATAACCAAATGCTTTGATGTTTTAAAAACAAATTCTTTGAGGTTTTAAAAATACTCATTCATCAAAACAGAAGTAATTCATTTTATGAGTAAACAACATGTTACCAAGCATCCAGGGGGGAAACAAAATAAAGGAGTAATACCCATCTGAGAAGAAAGAGGGGACAGAAGTTTAATGTAATATTGCGTAAGAAAATATTCAGCAGAGTATCCTGATTAGCCAGTAGAGGCCTCCTAGGAGAGGCAAACTGAGGCTAGCTTTGGAATACAGAGATTCTTCTTTTGCTTTTCAGACAACAGAGGAGTCTTCTGTGTCTATGGATGGCTTTTAATAAGCCAGCTTGGCCAGAGAGCACACTTACTTCTGTCTTGAGTGAATCTCACTGCATGGGAATATATAGCAGCTGAAAAATTCAAATTGTTTCATGCAATATGTCCTCTTAAAGATTTGGTCTGATATTTGATTATTTTTGGTGTCACATCTTTCTCATGAAAACATAATTCCAGGGCACCTGGATGGTTCAGTCGGTTAAGCGGCTGCCTTCAGCTCAGGTCATGATCCCAGGGTCCTGGGATCAAGCCCCACATGGACTCCCTGCTCAGTGGAGAGCCTGCTTCTCCCTCTCTCTCTGCCTGCTGCTCTGCCTACTTGTGATCTCCATCTCTCTGTCAAATAAATTAAGATCTTAAAAAAAAAAAAAAGAAAGAAAGAAAGAAAGAAAGAAAGAAAGAAAGAAAAAACATAATTCCTACACAGTGGAGAGGTAAAAAAAAAAAAAAAAGAAAAAAACCCTCTGATGATGATTTTCATTCATAATTCAAGTCAGTGGGAGAACCTGATTCGATTAACAGAAAACTGCATTCAGGCTTTTGTAATTTTTGCCCCTCTAAGGCACCACTGATTTCCTAATTTCATGTTACTTGAGATAGGAATTGATGGATGAATCCCGTTATATAATTTAAGAATAAGGAGTTGATGCTAATATCATTAAGTGGGACTTTTTTCAAACATTTCTTTCATACCCTCTTAGATTCAATTTCACAACATCTTAGTGGGTCGGGAAGACTCAGGTTTTTATAGAAAAGGAAAGCTATGGCCTAGAGAATAGAGATGAACAGCCCAAGCTCACACGGCAAATCAAGAGCAGAACCCTGGATGTCCTATACCTTCGCTGAAGCACCATCTAAGCTGTTACCAAAACACTAAAGCTGAGAATTCGCAGCAGTAACATCAGCTGCAACAAAATGAGGGTAGCCGTCCTCGGCGGAGGGCTGACTGCGTCCGGCACTGTGCTGAGCACGACAGACCAGTTACCTCACTTAATAACTACTTAGAATAATAAATAATATGACTAGTCATTATCTCAGGTTGCTGGAAGGGGATGGAGGCAAAGAGAGGATGAACTTTGACCGAGGTCCGGCAGCCCGCGTGAGTCTCCGCGGCCACTCGTTCAAGTTCACGTCAACCAGAAGGCCTGGGGAATCTTGAACTTGCCTTCTGATGTATGGCTGGCAGCCTCTGACTTCAAGTCCTCAAGTCTTTGCTCAGAAGTCAGCTTCTCTGTGAGGACTATTCTGTACATTCCACTGAAAACTGGAGCCCCATCCCCACCCTGCCCAAAATCTATCTTCCTTACCCTGCTCTAGCCGGTGGTTTAATGTTTTGTTTCTAACGCTAATTTTTAACATAAGTACCACAGGACAAAGGTCTTTGGGGTTTTCTCACCAATATATCCCAGAGGTTCGGACTGTGCTATCCAATAAAACTTTTATATTGACAATTTTTTTTTCAAATCTGTGCTGTATGGTAGCCACTAGCCACAAAAATAGAACTGAAAAGTGGCGAATGCCACTGAAGAACAGAATTTTTAATTTATCTGATTTATCTAATTATATTAAACAGCCACATGTGGCTAATGGTTACCACACTGGACCCTGTGGGCCTAAAACAAAACCTAGCATAAATATACTCCCTGTAAATGATTTGTTAAATGAATGAATTTATAAATAACTTAATGAGTAAGACATATTTTTCATATGACATACGGCCTACTTTCACTAACGGCAAGTTAAATTTTATATTTTTTCAATAGAATTATAAGCTAAAAAAAAGTCCAGATCAAATTAAGAAAATAGTCTGAAAATTCAGGTAGGACTCACAGCACAAACCCAGATTTCTCAAACTACTGACTCCCTTTTGCCATCCGTGGCTTAAAACCTTCCAAAACATTTCTGGAAAACCGCAAACCAGCAGCACATAATGAATTCTCACATATGACCAAAAAATACAATGAATACTATCATCATTCAGTACCTTTTTGACCTTGTTCTTTTTCTCATAGGTCTCTGACAGAGGTTTTTTCTTCTGCTGAGTTGTGTCTTTGGAGAATAAATACTCAAATTCACTAGGATCCCGAATATCAGGTTCTTCTAAGGAATCCCATAAGGTTGGTGTAGCATTTTGGCTTAAAAGAGAAAAATGACAAGTTAACCATTAAAATCAAAACAGAAGAGAACAGAATATAATGAAATCTCTAGTTCACTTTAAACTCATTTAAGATACAGATATATATATATATATATATATATATATATGTATATGTATATAAAATGTCTGTATGTTTATAAATATATCTCCTTCTAAAAAAAACTTGAAGAACGCCTTTTCATGTTACACTTTCTTTTCTTTAGGTCAAGATATACCACAGAACATCAAAACCAACACCCATTTTCAAAACCGAATGACCACTAGAAACAATCAGAGAGAGAAAGAGAGATCTAGAAAACCATGTGGGAGTGGGACCAGAAATCCTGGGATACACATGAGTGAAGCTATATAAGCTGTTCTTCCCTCAGTCTATGGTGTTTCCAGCATGGGTAAAAATGGGCATCATATAAATGTTGAAAAGATAACCAATTCCGAGATACTGATGGGATAATTCTTAATAAAAATTCTTAAAAAGAAAAAAATTCTATACCTTCTAGTAAGGTAAAGATTAACCCTCTCTTTGGACTTTTTCTTATACTTTTAAAAATTATTTTTAGGATTAGTTCAGGTCAACTCAGGGCAAGACCCATAATAATTTTTGAATAGACTGAGCCCATTTAGAAATACTTGATTTATAACACTCTGCCTTAACAACAGTATTTAACAATGAAACAAATCAAAAATCTTCATTGTACCAGCCTCCACAGGGCTTTCAACTAAAGCAGACATGGGAAGGCTGTACATTTTGTTTCTAGGGTTTTTTGTTTTTTTTTTTCAATCTTCAAAACACAGGGGCACTAGTTGAGAAACAAAGAGAAGAAGATATGGAAAATCAGGTAGAAAAGAACTGCCTCTGAGACCAAACTTGGAAGGGTTACCATCCAGGCTTCCTTCAGCTAGAACACATTTCCCCCCAACTGTCTACTTTCTTATTTTTAAACACTCTTAATATGCATAGACAGAGAAAAAATACAATGTTTCATCTACACATTTATTGTTTTTCAAATATATTATATATGATCCATAATATCTATAACTACCTACCCTTGTTTTAATATGTATTTTCTCCATTATTAAAAACTAAAAGAACTATTATTGTATGGAGAGGTCCACAAAATTTTGGGTTGCAAAAAGGCAATTTTCTTATTCAAAACAGGTGGGAAAACTGAATTCTCAGATCTGTGTGTTCATATTTTCTACATGCCCCACGGAATATAAACATTTTCATCTGTTAGGATTCACTTCTAACTTTTTCATAATATTTGAGCCATTTAAGAGTATATGTGTGACATGTATAACATATGAGAGAATAATGAATGCTTGTGAAATCATCACCCAAGATCTAGAACACTTGCAGCGGAGCATATCCATCCATGTGCTCCTGCCTCAGCTGCCCACCTCTGCCACTCAACTTCCTTTTGAAGCACGAACACTGTTAAGTGCTTATCTCAGCTGCACTCAGGAAGGGGGATCTTGCTAGTAGAAGAGAACCAGGGAATTTTGGAGCATGCAGCCTGTTAAGGGCTGCTGGTCTGGGCTTCATGAAGGTTCTGGGAAGCTGAAGAGAGGGTGTGGAGAAGGAGGTGATATGATGCAAAGGGGGAGTTGTTCAGACCAATCCATCTCCCACCCCCCATCCTCCAACCCCGCACCTGTACCGCTTGCACCCAGCTCCAAGGACTCTGAGCTTAGGTTAGTATGAGTAGACAGCAACTCACTCATATTCTAGAGTAAATTGGCTTTGATAGGTTGAACACTTCATCACCATTTACTACATTGTCTCTATGGGAAAGGCATGTTCAGTAATGAAAAAAAGAATCTTGGAATACTACCTGTCAGTGAGTTGGGGTCAGCAGGCATTTTGTGGGGCAGTAACAAGGCCTCGCTCACAGACCAGCTCATCTGTTATAATGGTCACTTCCTCTCTGACCACTGAACATACAAATCTAGCTCACAAGAAGAGGAAAAGGAAGGTAGAAGAAGAAGGATGAAGGAGAGACTGGAGAGGGAGAAATGTCAGAGGCAGGAGGGAGATGGGGAGGAAGGAGGAGAAGATACTAGAAAATAGATATTTGTTAGGAAGCCAAAAAAGTAGATAGATGAGGATCTCTTTTTCTTTAACAAAATATCTCTTCCCTATTCTAGAAGCCACAAAACAGACACCGAAGAATGCAAAATGGCAAAAGTTAAAAATCCGTTCATGTTAGTAGTGAAAAGCAATCAAGTAGGTAAAAGGCAGTAGATATAAAATGGAAAAAAATCATATTTTACTCCTGGGTCCCCGGAAGACCTAGACCAAAATTTACCATGCATACATTAGACACAGCGCTTACCCTTCTGCTTGGACAGAAAACTAAAATACCATTTCCTCTCTTTTTAAAAAAAACACACCCCAAATAATTTTAGTTCAAAAATGAACACTACACAGAATCTCTACAGCCTTTTAGTTTAAAAGAAATACTCATGCTCTGAGGGTACAAAACCATTTTGAGGGACCCATGATAAGAGACACTAAACGTGTGGTGCAGTGGGAAGCAGCCACCTTGCAGTCCTCGAGCAGGAAACTCAGTACTTCCTCTATTTTTCATTTTGGTCAGAACTGAAGTCCTAACCTTATAATGAAACTAATAAGAGCCCGAGGATGTAATTTTCTTTCTCAAAATGGCCAAATACATAAGGAGGGAAAAAATGATGATTATCTCCAGCTTGACTTGGTCCCACCTTGAACAGTGGGCAAAGGGCCCATATCTCCCAGTGGTACTGTCACACCACTGCTGTGGTCTAGGATATTGGTTGTTTACGGAGTCTTGAGGGGAATGGAGTGGAGGCAGGCTAGTGAGACACAGGTGTGGAACAGTTCCATGTGCTGTCGGAACACACGACCCCAGGGCTGACAGGTGGGATTCATCACTCTGGAATGTCTGTACATTAATTTGAGAACACTAATAAGGGAACACAGATCCATATAAAGATTCTGGGAAACAATTTCTTAGGAAATGTCATCTGAGTTTTGAATGAGACAAAAAGGAATACTAGTACTATAGCTATTTCGGGATCTTCTCTTTTTTTAACCATTCATTTGGGAAATAATAAGTCTTCTGCATTTAAAAAAAATAGTATCAGGATTCTCTACCCATAAACTCCTGGTCCTTATTTTTTGGTTAGGAAAGGAGCCAATAGGAAGCACATAATCAACTTAGTTCACCATATGCGTTGTTTATAGTGATTTCCTCCTATAACGGTTTCCAGTTGCTTTATAATTGTAAATTTCATGTTATGTTGTTTAATATCCTGCCTTCCATATACAAAATGTTAAATTGAAAGATTCACTACCACACACTGATTTGAGGAGTAAGTTCAAAAATGGGTGTTTAAAAATGTGTTCTCTGTTTGCTGTCCTTCACAAACAAATGAACTTCAAATCTAGAGATTATCAAGAAGCAACTCAAGATCTGTCTCACTGTCCTCTTGACAGACTCTGAAATGAGGCAGAAGAAATTAAATTCAAATATGTTTGAATGGAAGTTTCCAACTAACCTATCTTCCTGCTGCATAGACCCAGCTTAACAAGCTGTACAAATGTTAGATGTGTTCTACTGGCACTTTCTCTGAGCAACAGGGTATAAGATGTGAGGGTGTTTAGCAGTCAGGGGAATGAGACTTCAAGCAGAGATTTTCTATTTTTTGACTCCCTTTTGCGCTAAAGAGCTAAGGACTCAGCTATGTCTGGCTCTTCTAATAAAACCTGAAAAATTACACACACCTGGTAAGTCTCCAGATCATAAGGCTGATGATCCCATTGAAAGACAAGAAAGATATTCTAAAAATCTTCAGTGAACCCAGCTATAGGTCCAGGCTCTATGTCCGTCTGTGTGATTACTTGCTACCTATAGGGATGTTCGAAAAAGGCTCTGACTTAGACCAGGGCTCTTCTCTAAGAAGGGTCTGTAAAATGGAACCTTTATCTTAGAGAAGCATCTGACATTGCAGACACTGTTCCTCCCAGCATCAGACTATGGAAAATACAGACAAGACCTGATAGAGATAGACATTCTCCCTCTCAACACTCTAACCTTGTTTATCTAAGGTACTCACTATACTGCATCTGAGAAATGAATGTCACAGTACACAGATATCCAGCTGGTAAGAATAAAACGTCACTTGGGCAAAATCCTGGGAATTCACAACCTGAGAATGGGCCGGGGTTGTTGAGCTCACCTTTTATCACTTATTTGTATTCTAGTCCAGTACAAGGGCTTCATGGGGCAACTCGGTTCAATGGCTGGCTTCCGAGGACACTGGCCAGAAGAAGGGCCAACTCCGAAGAAGAGTCCAGGAGGAGGTGGGGGTGCAAGTCCTGGAGGTGTTGGAGGAGGAGGAGGTGGAGGCCCCCCACTGGTGGGCAGAGCAGGAGAACTGGGAAGTGGTGGTGGAGGAGGAGGTGGGGGAGGAGGGCTGGCACTGGGAGGCAGAGGAGGGGGCGGAGGAGGTGGTGGTCCAGCACTCACAGGTGGTGGCAGCAGAGGTACTGGTGACAAAGGTCCAAGTCCAGGTGGGAGGGGAGGAGGCGGAGGGGGAGGGGCGACTGCTGGGGGTGGCGGTGCAGGAGGCGGAGACGATGCCTTTTGCTGACTTGGTGAGAGGCCTTCCACAGACTGAAGTGGTCCATGGGTGTCTTTGTTGTCATTTGGGGGAGAGAGCTGACTCAAAGAGGAGATAGTCAGCTTTTTGGGTATTATCTGGTTACTTCTGATTGTCTTGCCTTCACCTTCACAGGGTTTGAGAAAAGTCTCTCTGTCTGTCTGGATGCACACATTTCGGTAGGTCTTTGGAGGACAGTCATCGCCCGTGGAGATACACGCATCTTTCATCTCTTCACGTCCTCCTCGCCATCGGTGTTCTGTCTCCCGTTTGAGAGTTTCAATGGTTTCTTCTAGTCTTGCTGTAACCACCGCGTGCTCCCCCCGGATGTGAAATGCCTGGAGTTCAAACTGAGCCTGTAGAATAGCAGTGGGAAAAAAAGTAAAGAATTTATTAAAAAAAAAATAGATATCTGAAATAAAAGTTTCAATACCATCCCTGTGCCACTGCAGCCCAGCCCACATCAACACAGGGAAACACAGAGATGTTCTTTTGAGGATCCGACAGGGTATAAACTTTCACTTTATGAATTTTCCAAAGACTTAAACCATTGGAATAGAAGCATAATTTCATCCAATCTGACCTCATGGGGGAAAATTACCATGGACTAAGGTTTTCAGTAGAACTGCTCCCTAAGAATTTTCACCCTGTTTTGCTATCAAATGCAAAACAAAGTGTTCATAAAAATTTGAGCATGAATATATCTTCTATTACTTTTGCTTTGGGTTTGGAAAAAGAAAACTGTAAGAAAAAAAAAAATTGAGATCCTTCTGGCTATCCTCACAAGTCTCCCTTAGAATACCTCTTCTATGGGACTTCTGGGCCAACACAGCAGAAACCAAAGGTATGAGAAGAAGTTATCACACATGTGTATTTTCTAGAAGTTTCCATATTAAAGCTGTCCCTGATCAATATTTGGGTCTGTTTCATAATTTTTCATAAGATAGTAATAAATAAGCAACACAAATACATAGAAAATGAGAGTTGATTTTCTCACATGTGAACATGGCAGCCTGATGCAACTCCAAAAAACCAGGTAAAATCTGGACACCATCCATTTTATGTATAGCAGAGAGAGTTAGGCACCTGAGCTCTGGATTTATACCACCTGATTTGCATCCCACCTTAGCCACTTGCTAGCTCTACAAACTTGGGCAAGGAACTTTGTGTCTTCACATCTGAGTTTTCCCAAGTGTAAAGGGGATGACTGTGAGCCAGCTCTAGGGTTTTTAGAAAGGTACATGACATCTGAATAATGTTACTACTAGGTACTGCTGCTAATGATAATATTAGAAGACTGACAGATTTACAATCATTCTTTCACATTTCCAAATAATGCCATCTTTGTGGAATGATGGGCACAAAACCAAGAAAAGCTTTAGCAAGTCTGGATAAACAAGGTAGTACAAATACAAAAGTTTACCCAATCTTTCAGAAGTCTACTACCAAATGCCTGAAAGTAATTTCAAGTGTCATTCAACTATGCGATCAAGATAATCAGTGTTTCAACGTCTTGCCCGTCACCATCTCCCCCTCCTGCCCCTGCCCACCTCTACCTACAGCCCAGCCCTAATGTCCACAGAATGGCTTGCCAACATGTCAATTTCATGACAATGACTAGTTCAGTTCTGCCACAACAAACTAACTCTGGCTTCTTGTTCCCAACTAACTTTCTTCCAAGAAGGTTAAGATGACATTGATGAGCCAATAACTTTCTTCAATTTTCAACTTCTTAGTAATAGGAAAAAGTTGTAAAGAAATGTTCCACAGAGAGACTTTCCCTTTATCACACAACTGACCTGTATCTATAGCAAACACCTTGGTCCCATCTCACCCCCTTCCCATCCACCTCATAACCTATGATCTTCTGAAGCCGATGAAGCTGACACATGTACCTATACATTGTTTCAGTGACTCTCTTGCTTAGTGCAGTGGGTAGAGCCCAAATCAGCCAGGTTTAACCTCTCTGGACCTCAGTGTTCTCATAAGTAAAATGCAGATACTAACAGATCCTACCTCATAAGGCAGGTGAGAAGTAGATGAGTTAATATACATAAAACAACAGAGAGAGAAGTGTTTGGAACACAGTAGGTGGCTCATAAGTTTGCTACAATGATTACTGTTTCTTTGTTGCTGTCCCAGATGCCAGTGGCCACATCACCTTGCTTTTAGCTCTCAGCAGGCTCCCTGCACCATACTCTATGCATCTAAAGCAAAGATAAAGATACTTTGTCTTTTTGTTTGTTTTTTTAGAGAGTGCGCCTGTGAGTGGGAGGAGGGGCAGAGGAAGAGGAAGAATCTCAAGCCGACTCCCCACTGAGCAGGGAACCTGATGTGGAGCTCCGTGGAGCTCGATCTCAGGACCCTGAGATCATGACCTGAGCTGCAATTAAGAATCTGATGCTTAACCAACTGAGCCACCCAGGTGCCCCTAAAGGCGAGTTCTTTAATTTGTTCTAGCAGTTGCCCTTTCTCACTGTCTCTTCTTCCCAGCAGAATTTTTAGGGAAAAAACATACAACTCTCACTTGATCTATTTTCTCATCCATTCTCCCTTCAGCAAATCATAATTGACTTCTTCCCCCAGGCCCACGCCCCCAACTCATTGAAATCCTGTGATTTGAGTGTTGCATTTGGTCAGCATTTTGCAGTGATCCTGCCCTCTAGGCTGCATTGTTAGAGTTAGAAATGCCTTGAAATTCTCCAACTTCTACCCACCCCCAATTTCTTCCCACTTCTCAGCTCTCTCCAGACATTCTACAGACTCCTCTCCCTCCATTCATCCCCTAAATGTTGTTCCCCAGGCATCCTGCTTGCCATTTTACCCTTCTCACACTACACAATCTCTCTGAACCATCTTGTGTACTCATAGGGTACAGCAACACCCAACTACTATACACTGTTATTTCCCAAGCAGACCTTAGAGCCATCACTCCAACCACCCTCCTGACTGATCTACCTCCATGTTTAATCAGTACCTCAAACTCAACATGTTCAAACTCATCATGAACTCATCATTGTCAAACCTCAATTTGTTCTTCCTCTGAAATTCCTTCCTGCAGTTAATGGCATCGCCATCTTCCTAGTCATCACATTCAGACACCTGGATGTTATACTGGATTTCTTGCTTTCCCTCTCTCATTCCCAACATACTATTTACCAACAAGCCTCACTAATGTCTCTGATTCATTCTCTTCCTTCCATTCGCAGTGCCTCAACTTTTCAGTTTATCAGTTTATCCAGAGAATGCCAACAACCACCTAATTCTCCTGACCACAGTTTAGCCATACTAGTTCCAGGACAATATTTTAATAAATGCAGATTTTTACTCTTTAATATCTCTTCAATAATTGGCCATTACTTACAGCCTGACACTGAACCTTTTTCAGTGAACACACTTAAGTCTCCTTTGATCTGTTTTCTGTCAGCTTTCTCCTCTTTTGGCTCCTGCCTCTTCCCTAAATAGGCCCTGGCTTCCACACTTGCATAGCATCTTGCCTCTCCCAGGACCATGCTCACTCATGTATCTGGGCCTTTGCAAATGCTGTCTTCTCTCAACACCCCTTCACTCCTGCAAACGCCCGAAGTAAGGGGACAGATCACTAAGCATAGGTTCCATGGATGGCTTCCTCACAATCTGTATACACCGATATGAAGAATTACCATATAAGAAAGAAATACCAAATTTCCATATACTCCATACTGATATGTTGGGATTATAATAAGAAACCCTAATAATCAAAACTTTGGCAAAGCTAGTTTTTAACCCTGTTTTCCTCTCAACCTTCTTCTATTAAGTGCCCTTTCCACTTTGCACGTGGAAACTATGTGCTATTTTTACTCTCCTTTACCTAGAACCACAGCTAGAAAGACTATTAGCGATTTGGGGAATCAAACCCAAAGTAGAACTTTCAGTCAGATAATCATGTACTCCTTCCCGGACAAAGTTTGCCCAAGATCCTGGGAATCTTTATGAAATGTCAAGTCCAGTTCCTTTCAGCCAAAACTACAGAGGAGGATGGGCCACGGGAACATAATCCTTTGAACCCTGGTGACTCTCTTTTCAGGCTCCCTTACATGCACATTGAATGTGACGCTCATACATGGGAGACAAAATAGTTATAAACCTTCCATTTTTTCCTAGGTAAATGATCTTTAGGTCATATGAAGCACTAAGGAATTTCCCTCTCCTGCCCCTCTCTGCTGAAAATCTGTTTTTCTGCATTCATCCCAATATCTCATTTGAAAGGAGACAGGTGCTGAGGTTTGACATCTTTCCAGTCTTCCTCAAGCTTTATCTACCAGATGCCATCCATGTTTTACCCACCTTCCTTTACTCGTAACTTTATTGCTTCTCCTGCTGTCCTTTTTTAAGTGCATCCTCTTCCCATTTGCAATCGCCTACAGTGATCTATATCCATTTCCTTCTAAAGGATTCACATTCACAATCCTTAAGAGAACAATCCCAATTAAACCATTCCAAAAAAAAAAATAAATAAATAAACCATTCCATTTTAATCTTCCTTTTCCGTACTGGCACTACTTTTATTTGTCTCATGTCGTGCTTGTCAGCCTGCTCCCCATTAGAAACACCTAGAGAGCTCTGTAAAAAGTACCGATGAGCAGGACGGACCATCCTCAGATATCTGAGATGGTGTCCTTGCGCTAATATCCTTAAAGCCAGAGAATTCCAAAGGGCATCAAGAGTTGAAATCAACAGCCACTGTCCTTAATCTTTACTCTGCTCCAGGCACGGCTGAGACAGGATGACGTCACAGTACCAGTGCACTTTTTTTGGCAAAGACTTACACTTGGGTCATTTCAGAATGGCCAAAGGAACATGTGTAATTTGGAAAATTACCCTTCCTGATTCTGACCTGTCCCCATAAGGGGAATACCCCTTCATTACTTATATTGAAAATAGTTATTCTGCACAGCAGATAAGTCTAAATTCTTTCCATGATGCCTCATGGCTCCTTAAAACTTGGCCTCTCTCTGCTCACATCTCCAGATACTTCTCTATACTTTCCCCGTGCTGCATCACTACAGAATCAGCATACATTCAACCCCCACATTGCTATGATTTTACATATGCTATTTGTACTACTTAAAACACCTTTTCTCTTCATTTCCACCTAGCAAAAGCCCTGAAGGAAAACTCAGTCAAGTTCAGCTGAACCTTCTGGCTTAAACTTTTCTTGACTCTTCCTGACAAGAATTTTTCTTTGACATTGCTGCCAAAGAACCTGCTAGGTTCACGTCCCATTATAGTCATTTCTGCTTATCTTCTTTGTAAATCTAAAAGCTCCAGGCAGTTGGGGACTGTGCCTTATTCATGTTTGAACTTCCAGAACATT